TTCTATTTTAAAATAAAATGCCTGCACACAAAAACAATACACTCCAGATTGTCCAGCAGATTTTAACTGAGGCTTAACACCAACACAGCAGTTTCAACATGAAAACGATTTCAAGGTTAATTTTAGCTACAATCTGAACTTGAAACATGCTCATTAAAACTGCCTAACAATTACTAATATTAATAATATAGATTATTAATAAAACATATAGATTAAAACAACATTGAAAAAAGTAATTCCCTTGAGGACATTTTCTCTTATTGGCCGATTAAACCAACTTTTAATATAAACCTTTAATATAAACAAATCCATATTTATCAAAGTGTAAATTATTCAAATAATAAAAACAGTAATAAGAACAGTAAATTGCTTTTCTTCACTAAACATTATTTGGAGCAAAATAACATAATGAGTCCCTATAGCAATTTCTAATTAACGCTGCAACTGGTAGGCTTGAAATCAATCTTTGGTGAGCTTTTTATATTTTAGGTGTTGTGCGTTTAGATCATTTAATACTTTATTTGACCATCCAGATGAATCTGAACACTTTTAATATCTGATTATCAATAACTGTCATTGTCCCCTTATTTTTTTTTTTTATTTTTTTTTTTTTTTTCATTTTTTATTTATATTTTTTTTTCTTTCTCTCTTGAGCCCAAAATGTCTGTACCATGGCTATCGTCACTCAGGTTTGTATCAGTGTTTACACTTAATACAGGATGATTAATGACAACTCAGTGTTGAACGTTTTATACTTGGAATGTGGGAGGTATACACAACCTTATCAAACGGAGAAAGATTCTGAGCTTTCTTAAGAAGGAAAAGGTGCATGTGGCTTTGTTGCAGGAGACCCACCTGACTTCTCAGGAGCACCTTAAGTTAAAACGGGATTGGGTTGGTCAGGTGTTTAGTTCTTCTTTTACGAGTAAGAGTCGGGGGGTGGCTATCCTAATACATAAGCACCTACCACTGATGAATGCCCAAACAATTAGTGATAAGTCTGGTAGATACATATCTTTAAAGGGCACCTTACATGGCCAGTCAGTGTCATTTCTGAATATTTACTTTCCACCAGTACAGTCTAATGACTTCATTACTCAGGCTTTTTCCTCCTTTTCGGATTGGGTTTGTGACAACTCAGTGATAGCGGGAGATTTTAACTGTTATCTCTCCTCAATTATGGACAAATCTCCATCTAGACAGTCTCAAATTCCTAAAAGGGCCAAAGCACTTTTGAACACCTGTAACGAACTTGATCTTGTTGACACCTGGCGGGTACTTCACCCTAATGATAAAGAGTTTACATTCTTCTCAGGGGTTCATAAAACAAGTAGCAGAATTGATCTGATTTTCACTCCCAAACGGTCACTGGGTAATATTAGTAGTTGTAGAATTGGAGATATTCTTATATCAGACCACGCACCTGTTTATATACAGTTAAATCATTTGAATGCTGCCCCTTTGTATCGGACTTGGAGATTTAATAATTTTTTAATCCACAACCCTAAATTTGAGAAATTTTAAAATGAGCAGCTGGAGCACTTTCTAAAGATAAATGCAACCCCCGACGTTTCTCCCGGTCTACTGTGGGACACTTTGAAAGCTTATACTCGCGGACTAATTATATCATATTCTGCAGGTCTAAAGAAGAAAAATCAGATGGAGCAAAGAAAATTAGAACTGGCGCTGCATGATCTCCGGATTAGATACAATGCCTCACCCTCTGAACAACTAGGGAATGAAATCCAGGTGGTCAAAACCTCTTTAGAGGGGCTGCTAACGAAAAGGGCTGAGAAATCTATGTTTTTTATGAGGCAAAGGCTGCATGAATTTGCCAACAAACCAAATCGCTACCTAGCTAATCTCCTTCGGAATAAGACATCTTCTCGCAATATCCCGTGTGTTAAAGATTCTTCTGGATTCCTTAAATATGACATTACAGTAATTAATAACATGTTTAAATCTTTTTATAAGCAGTTATATGCCTCTCGGTTTAAATCCTTACACATACAGGATATGCAAAACTTTTTTTCAAGACTAAACCTACCTAAAATTACGGAAACCCAGAGGGATGACCTATGCAGGCCTATAACACAGAGTGAAATTTTGAAAATTATTCAGTTACTTCCAAATAACAAAGCTCCCGGTCCCGATGGATTCAGCGGGGAATTTTATAAAAAATTTAGTAAAATTCTAATCTCGCCACTATCTGAAATGTTTCAATCCTCATATGTTGTTGGTGCTCTTCCCCCATCCTTAATGGAGGCTAATATCTCATTAGTTTTGAAAAAAGGGAAGGCCCCGGAAGACTGTGCCTCTTACAGGCCTATATCAGTTTTAAACCTTGACCTGAAAATACTATCCAAGATCCTGGCCATACGTTTAGAGAGTATGCTGCCCTCTATTGTTAAGAATGACCAAACCGGGTTCATACAAGGACGATATTCTACACACAATGTTAGGCGTCTGCTTAACATAATCCAGCATTCATCCCAGTTTAGTCTGGAGGCTTTACTTATTTCTCTTGATGCTGAGAAAGCCTTCGACCGCTTAGAATAGCCATATCTCTTTTTTACACTTCAACAATTTGGTTTAGGTGATGGCTTTGTGAAATGGATACAGATTTTATACATGTCTCCTCTTTCGGCTGTTATTACTAATGGTCTCAGATCAGAGAATTTCAGCATTGGTCGTGGTAGTCAGCAGGGATGCCCTTTGAGCCCTCTGTTATTTGCTCTGGCTATGGAGCCCCTTGCAGCAGCAATTAGACAAGATGCAAGCATTGAAGGACTCTTTTTAAATAATTATCAGCATAAAATTTCACTCTACGCTGATGATGTATTGATTTTTCTAAACTCCCCATCACACTCGATTCCTAAAATTATTGAACTGATTTTACATTATGGCTCTTTCTCTGGCTATAAGATAAATTTTTCTAAAAGCGAGGCTATGCCTATTTCTGTTATACATGGGGTTGACTCAAATATTTCTTAGCCTTTTCGATGGTCCCCGTCAGGTTTCACTTATTTAGGAATAAAAATCTCACCGCACCTAAAAGATCTATTCAATCTGAACTATACTCCTTTAGTGCAATCAATCAATCGTGATTTAGAAAGATGGTGCAGCCTCCCTCTGTCTCTTTTGGGTCGTATACACTTAGTCAAAATGAACATTCTACCTCGCCTTCTGTACCTATTTCAGATGTTGCCTCTTGTTTTGTCTAAAAGGGTCTTGTCACAATTGAATGGTTCAATTATCTCATTTATTTGGAATAAGAAAATTCCCAGATTAAGGTATAGTTATCTTTGCTTACCTGTGCGGAGGGGGGGTCTTGCCGCTCCTTCCCTTTCGTTATACCTTTGGGCAGCACAGTTTAAATTCCTTATGGAATGGTTTATCAGTGACCCTGACTCCATTTATCTGAGCGCGGAGGCCACCCCATTAAAGGGCATTCCTTTGCGGAACTTACTATATACATCCACTGAGAAAGCCTCAGTACTCATCCAAAACAATATGGTTTTAAAGAATATGATTGCTATCTGGCGTAGGGTCAGGCGGTTGGAAGGATACAGTAACTGCTTCTCCCTTCTCACTCCTATTCAAGAAAACCCTGACTTTTCTCCTGGTCTTGAAGGTGGTTTCGCAGACTGGTCTATAAAAGGGATTAAAAAGGTTGGTGACCTGGTTCATGAGGGCTCACTTCTTAAATTTAATCAGATGAGAGTTAAGTATGGTCTTACTAATAAGGATTTCTTGAAGTACCTCCAAGTAAAGAGCTTCATCAGTTCTAAATTGAGAAAGTATAGTGGGGGATTGGCTGTCTCTCCTATTGAATCGCTGATGTTAAAGACCACGCAGCTTAAGGGTATAACTAAAAAGATTTATGATATCTTAGGTGATCTTAAAACTGATAACTCTAACAAAGTTAAGGACCTGTGGGAAGTGGATTTAGGCCCTATAGAGGATGTGGCCTGGGTTGAGTTGTGTAGCCGACCCTTCAAGGCGTTAGCATCGAATTCTACTTGGGAGAGACAATTTAAAATCCTACATAGAATATATATCACACCTGAGAAGAGACATAGAATGTTTCCAGCGTTATCAAACCTTTGTAACAAATGTCAGTCTGCTGTTGGTTCTTTGTTTCATTGCCTGTGGAGTTGTCCTCATATTCTGCAATTCTGGGAATCTGTTATAGACAAGTTACGGTTAATATTTAGGTACCAACTGCAATTGGGTGCAAGAACGTGTCTACTGGGTCTGAATGATGAGCTGCCAGATAACTTTCGTAACAGGGATCTTCTACATATATTGTTACACTGCGCTCGAAAGTGTATTATGGTGTTGTGGATTTCTGATAGAGTTCCATCCATAAGCCAGTGGACACGGACTATAATAAGTATCATTCCAATGGAAGCCTTCTCTACGGCGTTGAAAAACAAACCATTTCTTTTTCACCGGACATGGGACCCTTTTTTGGACTCTTTGGATGCGTCTGTGGCTCAGAGATTGAGACTGGGTTTAATTGACTTAGCCTGGCAAAAAGAGGACAATTCGTAGTGTTATGTTTATTTGTTTTTCGGCTTTTGGACACCTGTTATTTATTTTTTATTATTTTTTTTTTTATTATTATTATTATTTTTTTTTTTTTTATTATTATTATTTTTTATTTTATTTTATTATTCTTATATATGTGTACATCCCTCTCATATGCTTGTAGAGTGTTTAATATTTGATGTTTCCCTGCTTTGCAAAAAAGTTCAATAAAAAAAAAAAAAAAAAAAAACTGTCATTGATGTTAAAAGGACAAGAAGGTGATTTTAAGATTAAAAAGACAGAGATGGGAACAAAAAGTTTGGATTATCGACCTCATATAATAAGACTTTAAAATAAATAGTTCATTTAACTCTGTCATTCTGGATAAGAAAAAATCTGGAAAATTCTATTAAAACAAAACCTCTAAATCCCTAAATGTAGAATATAACTGGCCAGAGTAGTCTTACCATACTGAGTTAGAAGGTTGAGGGCCACGTTGGGCACCGACTTCAAAAGGTTCCCCAGGAAGCTGTAGGTAGGTAGAAAACTCTTCATGCTGAGCTGGGCATTCAGCTACGTAAAAGAATAAAAGTAATCAAAAAACATAAAATATTACAGGAAAGTCAGATAGCTTGTTTAAATGTTTGGCACAGACACAAACAGAATTAAGACGGGTTGTCTACACAGACATTTTTCAATATCAGCAGTACTAGCAGCAGTGAATTTGATTTTAATAAAACTGCAGGGTTGAAATGAAACTAAAATGACTACAAATGTTTTCATCAAGAAGTGTGATTTCATCTTTTGTTTAATTTAAATTAACATGGAAGACTAACAAGTAAAAAAAAAAAAAGCAACATAATGTGGGACTCAATGAAACAAAGAAAGTGTGACAAAGCAGGTCATCAACAAAAACTATAACATTCTGCAAACTTTATCATTCTGCAAACAACTTTAACATTGGATTTAGCCTAAACTCAAACAAGCATTTTAAAGATCTTTAATTAATGATTTGCCCCCGTGATGCAATAGCCTGATAACTCTTAGATTTGCAACAATCTCTCTGTGCAATATATCAAAAATGCATCTCCTATGCAAAATCTGTGAGTACAATAATGCATAAATTGCAATAACTGTTAGCTAATATATTCCAAGTAAACATGAATTTGAATTTTACATGCTAATGTGATATTTAGTCAGGTGGAGTCTCAGGTCAGCATATGCTCCTGTCAGACACAAATTCCCTGAAATGCTAAAGCTCACAGAGTGTAGGAAGCATTGAAAAAGAAAATTAAGTATGTATCACACATCTGCTTTTTTTATTGCAATCACAAGACACTCTAGTAAAAAGCCTTATTAATTCAATTAAACTCAAAAGGTAAAATACCGTATTTTCCAGACTATGAGGGGCTGTTTTTTCCCATGCTTTGAACCATGCGGCTTAAATGAAGGTTTGGCTTTACCTTGGATTATTTTTCAGAAGTCAAAGTTAGAAATCCAAGAAGAAAGTAGGGTTGTCAAAAGTATCGAAACTCAAAAAAGTATCGATACTGAAATGTTGTATCCGGATACAATACTCGTTTTAAAAAGTATCGATACAGTGCCGTCACCACTGGCACCTAAGCAGTCATTCATCTAAAGTGCAGAATAGAGGACAATGCACTTTCAGAACACTGTGTGATTGAATAATTCTGTGCTCTTTTCAGTTTCAGGCTTTTTTTTTGTAACAGGTGCAGCTACTGAGAATTATTTTTGTTTCTTAACTGGTTTGGCTAGTGTCATTGTTATGTGTGCAAAGCATAGCAAAGGAAGGAACACTTAATTTGAATTTTATAATTTTTTTATCAAGCTTGCTTAATATTATGCACAGCATACAACCTTTATTGTGTTTATTTATTGTATTTTATTTTTTAATGAAAATATTTCTGTTGAATTTTGGAGTCTTTGTTTTTATCCTTGTGGTATCGAAAATGGCATCGAGTATCGAATATTTTCCTTAGTATCGGTATCGAGTTGAAAAGTTTAGTATCGTGACAACCCTAGAAGAAAGTACTAGTTTTCATTTAGCACAAGCACATATTAGCAGCAGGCGCAACGGAGAACAAATTCACACATTTTAACATTCATTTGCTCTATTTTTAACTGTGGAATCAATGAAGAGACTGTGCGCAACTCCTGCAGAGTTGAAATAAAAAGCTGGCACCATCTTTCATTAGAACCTCTAACAGGCGCTAGCAGTCAATCTAACATTAGCTAGCGTTCTTCTTTTTCCCTACTCTAGGTGCAATATGTAGAGCTCCTACTATAGGTTTCGCCAGCGACAGTTCAGTAGATATTAGCAGCTTAAAGCTTGGTGTGGCTTATATATGTAACTTTCCAGTTTTTTAACTTAACACTGGTAAAATCTCTAGGAAAATAATAAGGATGGAAATTTAATGCAGCCATGTCTCAGTGAAACACATAATACTGAATTTCTGATTTTCTATCTGCGTCCTTGCTAGGGTTTATAGTATAATTAACTAACAATTCGAAGGCCTGACTGATACCTGATATCTGTTGAAACAATTAACTGCATAAATAAAACCTTAAAGATCTCAAACAGCAAACAGTAACACATCATACCCTGATCTACAGAAATTTAACAGGAAATTATACAAAGTCTCTGGCATCTATCGGTCTGTGAGGGTTTACAAAACTTTAGGGTAGGATAGACATCGTACATTTATTTATTTACATGGAACAACGGGAGGAACCTTACAAGCTGTGGCCAGCTTACAACAGACCCAGGATGCCACAACAGAACCCAGAACATCAGAAGTGCTGCAGCCCTCCTGCCTCAGCTGAGATCAGCTTTCACAACGTAACTATATACTAGAGATTATTTACTAAAAGGCATCCATAGGAGAATCACGGAGCCAGAACTAGAGCTGACCTAAAAAGAACCCAAAAGCTCTCTTCACATTTTCCAAACAGCATTTTAATGATCCCTAGGACCTTTTGAGAAAATATTCTTTCACCTGATGATTCAGTTGATGGTTGTTTTATGGATTTCAGCTGGTTTGACCTTTCAGGACCTGGAAGACTTGCCAATAAAGAATGGAACCATAAATGAAAATCCAGAAGGAAAATGTCTAAACATCAGTTTGAGACCTTTAGCTCAAGCACATCTGGTTATACGGCAGCCCGATGATCCGAAGCACAGAAGCAGTTCAACCTCTGAATGGCTCAAGAGTAACGAAACGAGATTAAGGCTTCGAAGTGGCCTTTATCAAAACCCTGACTGAATCCAATTGAGATGTGTTAGTGTGACCTTAAACAGGTCAGTCATGCTCAAAACCCCACCAATAAGGCTAAATTAAATAAACCTGCAAGAAAATTGATCAAAGGTTCCTCCACAGAGATGAAAAAAGAAAGACTCACAGCCATCAGAAACGTCTGATGGAAGTTTTTCGCGCAAAGGGTTGAAATAGCAATTTCTTGGCAGACAATTATTTGCTTCACATGGCGGTGGTTAGTTGGATAGCTTTTTCTCTCCGTGAAAACTGATTTTTTGTTTATTTATGCAGATTATTTTTTGTCTTATATTAAAATTCAATTAACACTGATGTGTGGCAAAATTTAGCAATCTCCAAAAGGACTGACTCGCCCTCAGCTTCTTACATCCCATTAACAGATCAAATGGGAGATTAAAGTAGGTGGAAATATTTAATATAAGCATCTGCTTTATTAAAAGTGTGATTAAATTCCTATAAAATTGTATTTAAGGTTGTAAAATAAGAGCAGGATTACATTAACAAATGCATTAAGTGGATAAAATCGAAAGAAGTCATGAAAGACAGTTGTCCATTTTGTCTGCCCGCAAAAAAACTGCTATGTGATAGGTTTTATAACAAGATGTATTCTAGTAAGATATATGAGACCTGTCAACACAGGCAGGAGTTAAACCCTTCCTGTCATCATCAGCAGCACAAACAACTTAACTCTATTTAACTGAAACTGCTCGGCTATCTCCTCACCCTGAGGGTGAAACAACAGCAGCAAGAGGAAGACAAGCGCTCTGTCTGTTTACTAAACAGCCTTTGAGGGATGCGATGTTGGTTCCAGGACTGTTGTTTAAAATATTAAAATGTGCATTCCCATCCCTGCATATTTTACTCTGATAGCAGGAACGCACCTCTGGACGTATGCTAATGTGTTTACCCTACCTGTTTGTGTAGCTCGTCCAAAACGAAGTGGAACGGCAGCTCCTTCTGGAGCTCCAGAAGCAGCTGAACCAGCACTGATACAAACACACACAGAGATATCACACAGAAAACATTATTAAGAAAACAGCAAAGACAAGAATGTTACACATTTTAAACCATATTCAGCTACAGTATCAGCAGGAAACTAAAACATTTAATTAACAGCTTGTCTGATATTATCCATGACAACCAGATCGCTGTAACTGCACTTTCAGTCGTCTTAAATTAGTTTTAAAAGACATTTAAAATGTTGGAGCAAAAAGAAAATGAACATCAAATTATTACCATTCTATTAACTTTTACAATAAAGCGCTCCCTGAGGCTTTCTGGGACAGCAGCCATGAAATTATTCCCGGATTAGTTCTTACAGAAAAATTTTTGTTACCATAAAAAGTCTGCTGAGACAAAGTCGGAATGTTTGAGAGTGTAGCTTGAAAAAAAGGTTTTAGAGAAATATTGGTGATAACATAAATAATTAAATATGAAAGGCATATTTCAAATCACTAGAAATGCAAAATGAACTATTTTCTTCAGACGTGGCAAGCAGTAAAAATGCTGTTTAAAAGTATAAAAACAGATGCCTTCTTTACTAGAGGTGACCCTGCATCATGCAGCTAACCTCTATCCCTGTGTTTGTATGTGTGATGTGGGTAGAACGTGTACACATGTACAGCTGATGTGTTTGTATGTAACAATAAGCAGAAAAACACACAAACAGGTTAACCAAAGCATAACAAGAATCCCTTCACCTTGGTCAACCTTTTCCACCGTGACCGGGTCCTCCTCAGATTGAAGCATACCTGGGAAACAGGAGGGGGACAAAAACAGTAAAAAGATTTGAATTACTAAATTTATCAGCATTCTACTCTTTTGAAGGCTCTAATTATCGTATGCACATTGGATTAGGGTTGGATTAGTTGATCCTTTCTTAGACTTGAGCTGTAACAGCTGTATGCTAATACACAAACGCAGCAATTTGGTATATATTAAAGAAGAAGTCCAATCAAGCCAGTGTTCTCGCCAGCGTATTTCAGTATAACAGGCTCTTATGCTCAAAGTCACAGTGTGCTAAAATGAGGCTGATATGCTAATCTTTTATGAGCGTTAACAGCCCTTTGACTGACATTTGGGATTCCTACCCAGCACATTGCAGCACAGAGCTGGTTAAGCTGAAACTCACAGAATAACAATGGAATTATGCTGAGACCCCGGCATTTAATGAGAGTATAGGCTTAAAACTGTGTTTTTAAACACATTTACCTTCTTATTTGAAGACAAGGAATGAAAACGTGACCCCCCCCCAATGCCGTTAAGACGGCACAGAGCAAGCTTTAAAAAAGAACAATCACTCGTTTGTATGCATACCGTGAATGCTGATTGAGCCTGTTATTTTCACTGTGTCTTATGTTGGGAAGGGCGACTTTGTTTAACCCAATACACTTATTGTCTTTAGCTGCAACTCAGACTGAAAACTGTAACATCTCATACTTTCCCTTCTGCACACCAGCAAGCGCTGGTTGCAGCCCCCGTAGAAAACTTGTCTATAGAACTAGGAAAACCACAAACAACAATGGTCAAACTGTCTGCTGCGAGTTCAAAACAGGTTCCTTTCAGTTATTTCCAAATATGAATGAAACAAAAACAAATTTACCTTGTTATTATCAGTAATAACTAATAATGGCTTTAATAAATATGAGCGAAGTTTAAAACTATATGACTTACAGGAAAAACTTTGATAAGCTAATTGGACAATGTCTCTAACTTATTAATATGGCATTAGATGCTTATTATCATTGGATTATTATTGTATTGGAGTTGTGTCATTGAGTTAAAATTACACAAACTATTTTAACAGAAAAAGTGCATTTATTATGAAAAAGACACAAATATAGGAAAACCTTGAGATGTGTTTGATTTTTAGGACAGATTTTTTGAGGAAAGACAGGTTTTCCTGCACATACTAACCTTGCATGAAAATATTAATGTCTCTTCTAATTCCCTTTCATGCCAAACAGAAAACAATCTCCTTTATTGCCTGCTTTGGGGAGTGGCAGCCTAGTGGTTAGGGCATAAAGCTTGGAATACTGAAGTTCTGAGTTCAAGCTGCACACCCACAGACTGCCACTCTGGGTCCCTGAGCAAGACCCTTAAACCCCTCACTGCTCCCCGGGCGCCGCACAATGGCAGCCAAGGGGATGGGTTAAATGCAGAGAGTTAATTTCATTGCTCTGTACTTGTAATTGTGACTATAAAATGCTGGGGGGAAAAAAAGATTAAGTGATGCTGCCTATTAGCAGAACTGGTCATAATACATAACTGTTACAAATATTTAGAAAAAAATTCAGCTGAACTCATTACTTCAGTCCATGCACCCTGTGATCTGAGACCTAAATGCAGCTATAGAGCTGGAGACACCAGTGACAGCCTAACTGTGCAGACTGTGGATCTCCAGTACAATGATGCCTTCCTGGTTCATACAAGTTAATGCTGCTAATTTCAGTATCCAGAATCAGTATCAGTATCCATCAAAAGATTGAATCATTCATCCCAAGAAGTTACTTAAAACAGCTAAATGTTTTATTTATTTTGTAAGAGAATTCTAAGTTTTGTACAAACAACAAAATCTTGTTAATGTAGATCACAATAAAAATAAATATATTAACTATGTTTTGTGTTTTTGCTTAACCCAATAAATGAGGGATGTCTCCATACAAACTTTTGCATTTCGGATATGATGTCAATATTGCAGCTCTAAGTACTAATCAATACTGATATTGACCCGATACAATATCTTCAATAACTTTTATTAATCATTTTGCACGGCGGACTGTTAAAAAAAAAGGCTTGATGGAGTGATATTAATTAAACAGAGAACAAAAGCAGTTAGTATGAGAACAATTAAACCATTTATTAAAGGTATAGTGGAGGATGTTCTTTTTCCTGGTGGATCATCAAAATAAGCGGTCCTCCTAATTGTCAATCATTCTGGTGATATGTTTACTTAAGGCCATCCTACGTGGTCGTCCCCACTTTCACTTACCAGTGGTAAGTCTGACATAGTGGAAAAATTGCAAATCTTCTTTTGCAAAGTAAGCTTGTTTGAGCGATGCAAACAGCAACTTTAAACAGAGTGTGGACAAGGAGAAATGGGTTCGTGCACGCTCTTGCAAATGTTTAAGAGGCTTCCCTCTCAGGAGTAGGCACAGGGTTGTGCATGTGCTTTTTTTTTTAAGTGGCGAGGGTGGGACTTATAAAAATCCTCCACAATACCTTTAAGTGATGCAGTTAACAATAAGATGCTGAGTGTTTCTATCAGCATTATTAAATCGCATATTTCAGATGCAGGCCAAAATATATATTTGGATATTTCTTTTTTTGGCTGATGTATTGGACCAACATTAAGATCGGATTGGAAGATCCCTCTGCATAGGGATCAAGATGTTTCAGGAAATGCCTAAGTGACAACTTCACCTGGACAAATGCAGTACAGGCAGCTAAACATTTAGGAAAAACTGTCACCTCAATTAGTTCAGACCTATGCTTCCCTTTGTACTGCTCAGTGCTCCATGCGTCTTCAGTTCCTTATTAGTGTACATATTTAAACTTTTCACAGTGCTAACCAATAACATATGCTCAATAACAGCATATCGGACCGTTACTCAATTCAAGCATGAAGTTACATGCAAGTTCATAAACAGGAACTTCATCAGTTCCTGTTGACAACATTTTTTTCTCAACTATTTCACTCCACTGCCATCAACTTCTTAATGTTAGAAGAAAAACATTAATTTTTTCGTAACAATAAAAGCTATCATGATGTTACAAGATACTGCTTTTGACTTCTAAGATGCTGCTCATTCACTGTATAAGCTGTATAAACAAAATTTCATTTTGTATACACTCTGTGTATACAGAATGTTTGTGTAAGACATGAAAGCTTTATTTGATCCAATAACATAATTTTCTATTTTGCTCATAAGATTGTTTTTATTGTAAACTGCTTTCAAACTATGACATTTTAAAGTTATAACATCATGTATCATTATTTTACATTTCTGCTGTGCAGTACTTTTAGACTACTTATGTTTTGCAGTTATACCGTCAAACCTTTCAATAAAAACAAGCTATAATCAACAAGATTTAAAGATTGTCCCTTTATCAATTTGATTTTAACACTAATACATAAAGTTAAAACAGACAGGACCCAATTTGTGTAATTTTAAAAAAGGTTATACTAAGGGATGGTGATCATTTCTAGAGACACAGGCCAAAACAAGCGGCTTTGCAAACTGATGGGAAGAGGAGGCTCTGCACAGAGCCCACACACAGTCACTGTTTATGCTTACAGCTCATTGATCTTTTTTTTTTCTACATCTCCCATAGGGGAAGCTGTGGGGAAAAATGCAGGGTTTTCTCATTTTTCTACAAATCTGGAATGGGTGACGTATATTTGGATTTCGCCTCTGTGAGTCAAAACTTTATAGAACCATCTTGTACGGTTTTATAGGTGTCTGTGAAGAATCGTTTTAACATCCTACAACAGATTCTAAGTATAATTCAGGTCTGGGTTAAATTAAGATTTAAATTCAGGACAACAGCGATTCAGAAACACATTAACATACCTTCTCAAAATTCAACTTCTTGTGGCTTTTCCTCAACATAAAATATATTTTTGCCACTATTACACTTTTAAGTTTGTAATGTGCACAACTAATAGTTGTCCTGTAAACATGCTTGGGATGTGGGTTGCAGGGGTTCCTGGACCCCCTGGCTGTTTCTCCCACTAATGATCACATCCTTACAGTTATAGGATGACCATCTCCTGGTTGGTTTGAAGTTGGAGAGCCTTTTCTTTCATTTTAAACTCACAAAGCGCATACTCTGCTCTAAACTTCTTCTCAACATTATTCCCAGAGTGTCCAGGTGCGCTCCTTCTGTCTTTATTCACTATTTTTCCATCAGACTCTCAGATTTAGCTCTATTGCAGCAAGTAAAATCAGACACTCATCTGATTATTTGTTAAAAACTAGAATTAAAACCCTTTTAATTCCCCCTTCACATTTATCTCCTGGTGTATGACAAGCAAAACAAAAGAAAAATTAAATCAGCTGAAGTGTTAAGCTGTTTTCTAAGGTTTAAAAGGCATATGCCTGAGCAAGCTACTCCAATTAAATACTCCCACAATAAAAATAATAAAAGTTTCCAGATCACATCTCCTAGGCTTTTCTTCCCTTTCTAATGTACTGATGCATATTTCCCTCACCTAATAATGTGGTAATAAAATGCAGAGTGACTCTGTGGTCCTGTCGAAATAGCTCCATCAAAGCCCCCGCAGAGCTCTTCAGGATGCCACTCATACTTGACAAGGCAAAACATTTCCTCACCGACTGCAACAAACACAGCGCATAAAAAGACAGTCATAAAAGATTCAAAACCACTGTGTGCCAGTAAAAATGCAACTTAACAGTTTCAATGCAACATATTAGCACAAAGGTCAGTGTAAAATCCGTGAGGAAGAGAACTTCCATCATTTCCATAATAGTAGTGTTATACTTGCAGGCATTTTTTCGGCTTCCATCATTTCAATGGCGCAGGCGAAACAGAGCTGGAAGACGCCGCCGCCGCTCTCCGCAGGCCGCAGGCGGACGCTCCACTTTGGGTCATGTCTGAAATGGACCTGCTCATAAATAATATCCGCGCTTTCCATCGGCTCGCCTATAATATGAACACAACAACGTCCATGATTTTGTTATAAGAAGGAAGTGGAATGCCACCCTTTACTTATAAACTTTATGCTAAGTAACATAAAATTATTTTTAAAGTGTTCCGAAGACGTTACCTCCGTTTTATTTCCTTTTAAATAAAACGCAGATGTGTCAAACAGCGACCTGTAGCTGTTGAACCAGTAAATTAATGGTTATATTTTTAGCTAGCTAGCTAGCTAACTTCTAGCGCACTAGCTTAAGCCTGACGTCATAGCGGCGGGAAAATGAAAACTTTACTAGTGAAAGAAGATAAAGCAAGACACACTTTGTAAAAAGACTTTACTATATTCTCCTGATGATTTGAGATATATTATTATTAGTAGTAGTAGTAGTATTAGTAGCAGTAATAGTATTAATATTAGTGTCTATATATTTATTTATTATTTACTATTACTATAATATATTTCCTACAAATCTTTAGTTATTTCAAAGCTTTTTAGGCTTCATGAAACATTAATTAAAAATGTTTCATTAACTGATTAAATTCAATTCAGTTTATTTATATAGCGCCAATTCACACATGTCATCTCAAGTCATAACACATGTCATCTCAAGGCACTTTACAGTTCACCAGATCATACAGTCAAATTGATTGAAATTTTCTATCTAAGGAAAACCAGCTGATTGCATCGACTCATTGACTGGGATGCAATGCCTCACAATAAGTAAACTTGTAGCGACAGTGGAGAGGCAAAACTCCCTTTTAACAGGAAGAAACCTCCAGAAGAACCAGGCTCAGTGTGACTGGCCATCTGCCGAGGCCGACTGGGGTTCAAGGAGACAGAAGCAGAGACACAAAAAGCAACAGTAAAAGGCGGCCCCGTCCAGGAAACACACAGCCAGGCAGACGAGCTCTGAGCCAACTCCAATGTCAGAGGATGAAGAGAGCACATCTAGCCAGTCACAGTCAGAGAAACAGGAATATACTGGAAAAACAGGCTGAGCTCCAACATCTACAAACAAAGGTGTTGATGGCAGCAGCAGAGCTGATATTTCTCTCCAGGGTGGTGTCACAGCCAAACAGGAACAGCTACTATGAGAAAAGGCAGAGAGAGCAATTATAATATAATAGTGAAGAGTTAAAACATAAACAATAAAATACTGTACTGTAAAGAGTTTTAACACAATAAAACTGTGCAGAATAAATAACCAATATACAGCTATGGACATTTATACAGCAATGGATATTTGAAAATAGCAGCAACATCAGAAATGTGCAAAATGACATCATATTTAACTGACTAAGATAGAAACTGTGCTAAATCAGCATGAATCTAACCACTTATTGAGGTTGCTGGGAACAGTGATGGTTATAAAGTCTTACAGCTGCTGGGAGGAAGGATTTGTGATAATGCTCCCTGATGCATTTAGGGTGAAGCAGTCTGTCACTGAAGGAGCTCTCCATTTCTGCAACATCTTCATGCATGGGGTGGGAAACATTATCCAACAGCGATGTTACTTTAGTTAGGATCCTTTTGTTTCCCACCTCCTGCATCAAGTCCAGAGGGCATCCAATGACAGGGCTGGCCTTTCTGATCAGCTTATGCAGCCGCTTTCTCTCGGCTACAGATAAAATACCCAAAGTCTTCTTTTTTTTTGGTTTGTTTGGTTATGAAGATCCCTGTTTGCTTTTGCAAAGCAACACCTATTCTTCTTGAGGTCTTCAGTTTTCACATCATACACCACATACAAAGAACAAATAGAGGGACTAATTCTGACACATACATACTAAAACCATAACAACCACACGCAAGGGCATACTCTTACATTGAATCTACATTAAAGTGAAAAATAAATAAAAACACTATTGAATAAATGTAACTCTGAAAAATGTCAGTACCCACAACAAGCCTGAACTTAACAGTTCATTTATATTCCGATAGTAATCTTTATGACTTAGAATAACATCCTAAGAGTCAAAATTATATGCAAAGTAATTTAATTTGAAAACTATATATTACTACTATATTTTTCTTCTTTGATAAGGAAGAGCATCTCTGAGCATTCCATTCATTTAGTACTTTAGATATTACTGTACATTGAGCAGCTGTCTTGGTTTTAGGTAAGGTAAAAAAAAAAACCTCTTCTTGTGTGTCTTGTGCTATATGTCTGCAAATGTGAAATAAAGGACAAATTACCATATACTTAAATTCTGGAAATTCTTTGTATTGTTATTCTTTGTTTGCTTTTTAACTTTTCCATATTTTAAATATTGTAACTTTTGATTTGTGTAAAGTTTAAATCTGTGCCAAGTGGTCTCTGCTGTAAATTATCATTTATGTCTCATTAAAGCTACCAGCATAAATAAAGGTTAAATCATAATGATAATAATGATGATAATGAAAATGTATGGAATGCTTTCTCTGTTGGTACCTCATCCAGCATCACCTCATGCAGGTTAGTAAACATAAACACACTTCTTACACAAGGAAAAAGGGGATAAAATGATTACCGAAAGAATTTGTTTATCTTTAAGAGCTACAGGATTAAAATTGTCCCAGTACAAGGTTGAATATAGGAGAGCTTAATGTTTGGGTATTTTATGCCCAAGGTGGGACAACATATTTTCTCAGAAGTTCAAATTGTACCTCCGTAGCTTAAAAAGCACTGGAGATATTTAGAAGTGAATCTCCTCACCTCTGCGCAACCGCAGCTTTGTGGTTGGTCTATCAGTGTCTGTCCTCAAGTGATGCAACTTATTCAGAACCGGGCTGAAACACCATGTGTTAAACAATGTGAAAATAAAACTACATTGTCTAGCACATCTGCAACTGTGGAGCTCCTTAGGTTCAGTCCATACAACTTCAAGATCTCTTATTATGTAAACTACTAGCCAATGACCAGGGGTGTTGCTGTTTAGAATGGGGGGTGGTGGGGGGGGGGGGGGGGGGTCCGTGTCCCAGAGATTACACTGGAAAAACAATCTAGAAATAGGTAAAAAAAAATTCTGAAAGTAAGTGTATTTAACTTTAATTTGAGTTGGTGAATGAGATAGTTTGCCAATAGGATGAGTAGTTTTACTCTTAAAATAAGATAATTGGATAATGTACACTTGAAATACAACAGTGCATTTGTGTTTTCTAATTTTAAGTGTAAATCATCTTGTTCCACTGGCAAAATGTCTCTTTTACCTCCTCAAACAGGAACTACTGCACTTATTTTAAGAAAAAATGACTTATTTAGATTCAATATTTTTGCATTGTAATGTTTGATATGTGCATATAAACCCCATGGCAAAGGCATAGACCTTACAAGGAAATTGCATTAAGCTGGTAATAAAATATCGATGGCTCTAATTTTAAGGGTGCAGGAAGTGGGACGCTTCACAAACTTGGTGACGTCATGAAGAAAGAAAATTATGTGCTAGACATCGAACCATGTCCTAAAGATATCAGTAAGTCAGTTAAGGCTTAATGAATCTTATAATATCCACTAAGTTTTAAAGTAGCTTAAAGCTACAGTCTGTAATTTTCAGCGACATCTAGCGTCCAGACTGCAGACCGCAGCAACATGAACATCTCCCCCCCAGCGCTTCTCCCCCCCAACAGTATGGCGAGCGTTACGGGACAAAATGTCTTCCACGACGTCCGCATCACCTACCTTCTCAAGTGATGAGGTTTGTTTACATAGATAATTTTAATACTGCCATCTATTGTTCAGTACCGTCTCAGTTCATCTCTCTCAACTTGCCGTAGTTACTTTCAAGCGTAATGGGCGATCTCGCAATCACTAGTTTGTTGGCTCTGCGCTGCCGTAGCGCAAAAATGTCTGCCTCCATGGCTGCGAGACCCGCTCCTATGTAATTATAAATAACGAATTCTAAGGCAACGCAAATATTAAGCTTAAGAGGCTGAGCTCATAGATGATGATAAATAACATAGTTATGTATAATATATTACATTTCTGACTGTATATCCCTGTAATTATTACACACTGTAGCTTTAAATACAACAGTTGTTAAGATTTTTAACTAAGAAACATAACGCCGTGATCTCATTCCCATCGTGAATTTGTGTTTAAACATTAAAAAAGTGTGTGAGCAATGCAGCCTAAATTGATGAAATCACAGTTCTTCTGTCTGCAGAAATTTTCCAAAATTCCAATAAAACGATTGTAAAAAACATGTACAAGGATATCTAAAATATTTGATTTAACTTATTTAGTCTGAGTCATTTCTACAAAATGTTTTGGAAATCAATGTAAAGTTCTGAATTTCAATAATTTATTAAAAAATGCCTTTTGCTTTTTGCATCTAGGACTAGAAATAATGCAGGTGTTAAAATCTGGCCCAAACGAAGAAATCTTTATTCTGATTTTTTAAGTGTCTTTTTTTGTTATCTGTATGTTAAGCTGTAGTAATTGAGTGCAGGAAGAATTTCTCTTTGAGAAATAATGACATGTTAAATATAAACATAAATTTAGACTATGGGCTTGAAGAAAGGGATTCTTTTCTTAGCCTTTCCTTTTAACTTTATTTTTTGCATTCCGATAAAGCTTTTAAGTGCTAACAGGAAGTAAACTTGTGTGTTAAAATAAAAAGCATTTAGAAGAAGAACTAGGCCACTGTTTTAAACCATGGTTCTAAGGTACAAGTACCACTGGTGGAAGTTGCACCTTTGCTGGTACATAAATACAAGTTCATCAGCTGCACCAAAAGATGAAAATATGAACTGTTCAACCAAAAAGATCCTTTGATTTGACGGTTTCTTGTTCTTAAAACTCTGAGAGTAGAAATGCAGTGGAATAAAAATGAGTCAGAACTTGGATCTATGAATGAATCAAACCTTACTTGATCCTTTTCCTGTTCAGAAAAGATATTTGATATTTACTTGTTTCTTTTCTCAGCCACAACAAAATGAACTTTCTCTATCTACAAGGATGTTAGATGTGGTAAAGACTGAGGAAAAACCTCAGAATTTCGCACTTAGACTTTCATCTTCTC